GGCAAGCGCTCTACCACAAGAAACACAAAATTAATTGACCTTGATCTTTAGTTTCACAAGGCAATAAATATAAGGACACACAAAGACTCAATTGTTGACAAACAGTAGTTGAGATCCAAAAAATGACAAGTGGCTATAAAAAAGCACAAACAGCATTTTCCACCATCAGGTTTTCGATAAATAAGAAATTACAGTCAGCTGGAAATGTTATGACTCAGTCTGGAAAAGAGTGTGTGTGTGTGTGTGTGTGTCTGTCAAGATGATGGTTCAAGTGTCCAAAGAATCTACAGTAATCACAACTTGAGAATTGCAGAAGTTAGTTGGGTATTGGTGTCAAAAGTCTCAAAGTAAAATCTTACAGTATGTCTAATACATCACCACAACTTATTTAAAAAAGGCTTTTCATCCAAAAAAAGTTAAGTATCTAAGCTTAAGATAAAAATTGAATTATTAAACAATAAATACATATTTTTCACAAACCTTTTTGGCTCATATTTACCAAGGTTGGCAAAATTAGGGGGTGACAGATTAATAGTTTTTTGCAGGTCAAATACATGGTCCAGACGAGTGTGTTACTTTAATATCACTGAGATACTGTTGATACTACTTAGATACATTTTTATTAACTGTTTGGATTTGCTATGCACACATGGATTATTTGGAGTGATTAAAACTAATTAAAGCAACACAAAATCCAAATAATCATAAAGAGCCCATGATGTTTCACAGTACAAGCAATGCGCAACTATATTAAATCACTGAATATTTTTTACATGACAATCTTAAATCACTCAATCAGCTATACACAAAGAAGTAAATAAATAGATACATAAGACATAAAGTCATCAAATGTCTTCAAAGTAAGTGAAAGATAAAGAAGGGCATCCCTGTCAGATGTCTCACATGTTTGACTTTCATTCATTTTAAAAAGCACCTGGCCCATTTTATATATATATATGTTACTGGAATGCATTAACTCTATAGGTGCCTGATAGTTAGCGGTGAAGCTATCATTAGCTCATCATCAGCTCTACACAAAGAAGTAAATAAATAGATACATAAGACATAAAGTCATACACAAGGCAATTGCAAATTTGGGATAGAGATAACATTGTCTTTTCCAAACATAAAGACAGCCTATTATTGCAGACACAGAGCAGTATTTGGCAGTTTGTTCAATCTTCTACTGTCAATAAGCGTGAGCCATAGTCTGCTTGCTTTTGATGTATGTACATACACTCTCAGAAATAAAGGTACGCGAGCTGTCACTGTGGGTGGTACCTTTTTTCTTTTTTTACACATTTGTATCAAAAAGGTCCATAATAATACCCTAAGGGTAAATATTAGTACCTAAAAAGTACAAAAGTGTTCCTCTTACATTTTTTAGGTACTAATATATTCTTTTGTGGTACCAATATGGACCCTTCAGGTACAAACAGCTTGCGTACCTTTATTTCTAAGAATGTACAGAAAATGCTGCTTTGCAAAGCCAAGTTCGCAAAGCCCTGATGGTGTTGTTGAGTCAAACATTAAGTATGTTTACATGGACAACAATTATACTTTATTTTAATACAATTAAGACAATACTTTGATTAAGAGGCTACCATGTAAACAGCTATTTTTGATTACCCTAATCTGATTAAAGGCATAATTTAAATAAACAGAAATGAAATTAAGATGTGGAGTATATATATATATATATATATATATATATATATATATATATATATATATATATATATATATATATATATATATATATATATATATATATATATATATATATACTTTTTTTTCTTCTTTCCATTTGGCGTGTGGTATCAAATTTCAAAAAGCAAATTAAAACAGCACTCTTCCACCAGTCCTTACTTTGAATTGCATCAAATACACCAGTTTGTCACAGGGGCATGAATTAAATGTTCATGAGTGAAAATGAAACTGCCGAACTGCAGTTAAAGTCGAAAAATTTAAAAAATGAAACACCCAAAATTACATGAGACTCTGCAGGAAACGTGGATGGACTGGATACACCTTATTTATATTATTGACTTATTCAGATTAAGGCAAATAACTATTACTGATGTCTATGTAAACGTAGTCAGTATGTCTTCAAAGTAAGCGAAAGATCCAGAAGGGCATCTTGCTGATTTGTTTCAGAAGGGCACTTTCTTGTCAGATGTTTCACATGTTTTACTTTCATTCATTTTAAAAAGCACCTGGCCCATTTTATTTATATATATTTTACTGGAACACATTAAACCTATAGGTGCCTGATAGTTAGCTGTGGAGCTATCATTAATCATTTCCTCTAGTGAACACAAAACAATCGTCAATTTTCATGCCCCCTGGTGGAGCTCACCCCACAGTTTGTAAACCTCTGCCTTAGCCTATGGTGGAATAACTTTGAGGAAAACTACCAGGGGTACAAATAAAACACTTAAAATATAGCCTAGACTTGGCTTTGAAACAGAACATATCCATTTTAAGAAAAATTTGCCAAGAATAAAAAAAAAAACATGAGACAACACAATAAATTAATACACAATTGTAATGCATGCAGCATAGTGAGAAGCACTGAATAAAACAAAACAAAATATAGCCCATGTCCATCCTCAGGTGTCCTTGTAAAGGGCAGAGATGCGTTATTGGCTGGTTTATTGTATACTGTGCGTCCCGCCAGATTCCAGCTCTTTCACTGTAGTCATAACTTGTGATAACCTTCAGAGTGTCTGACATCATTTCCCTGTGTAAATGTTAAGTTTCCAAGCGAGGAAGAAAGTTGCGGACGAGGAAAGTTTTAATATCTCTTTTTTTTATCGTAGACTTCTTTTCCCCCCAAATGTTGTTTTTCTGTGACTAAGAGGTTAGGAATGTGTGATATGTACACTATTGCAAAACACTACAGCTGACATTAAGAATGTGAAAACATTCAAATAAAAACATTGTCTTGATCATTTAAAGTAGATCATTTTGAAAAGTAGCAGAAGAAAGATTTTTCTGATAAATCATCTGTTGAACTGCATCCCAATCATTACAAATACTGCAGAAGACCTAGAGGAACCCACATGACCCAAGATTCTGACAGAAATCAGTCAAAGTTGGTTAAGGAAAAATCATGGTTTGGGGTTACGTTCAGTATGGGGGCGTGTGAGAGATCTGCAGAGTGGATGGCAACATTAACAGCCTGAGGTATTACGATATTTGTGCTGCCCATTACATTACAAACCACAGGAGAGGGCAAATTCTTCAGCAGGATAGCGCTACTTCTCATACTTCAGCCAAGCAAAGAAGGGCAAGATGCTCCAGGATTGGCCAGTCACTAGACACGACCATTACTGAGCATGTCTGGAGTAAGATGGAGGAGGCAATGAAAATGAATATAAAGAATCTTGATGAGCTTGTGTAGTCTTGCAAGAATGGTTTCATTGCCATTCCAGATGACTTTAATAAGTTATTCAAGTCATTGCAGAGGTATGGATGCAGACAAGACTTTTGTCAGGTAGTGTATATCTTTATGAAAGTAAAACAAAAAATCCCTATTTAAGTTTGTACTATTTATATTTATACAATGGGGTTAAATTGGGAATTATTTATTATTTTTTCATAAGTGTGTTAGATAGGTTTATGCATAAAATCTGCAAAGTTACACAGCTCAAAGTTGACTTCTTTATCTATCTGAAGCAGGTCGCACACCAGAAGCGCCGCTCGGCGGCGCGCCGCGCAGCGCCACGCCGCGCCATGCATTTTAGAATTCTAAACATAGGTTTCTATCAGGATACACACACCGGCGCCGCAAGTCGGCGGCTGTCGGTGGCGCCCGGCGACGGCTCAGGACGCAGTTCATTTTTCAGCCGCGCCACAGAGCGCCATCTGATTAGTTTCATGTTAAATATCATTAGAATGTGCGCGTCTGGTGTGCGATACTTTAAACTGTCATGTACGCGCCGTGTCGCGGCGCCGAGCGGCGCTTCTGGTGTGCGACCTGCTTGAGAAGACCTGCTGAAAATTGCTTGATCATATTCTTGTATTTACTGGATTTACATGAGAGTTATTGTAGAGATGATGTGTGTTTCTTTATGAAAACAAAAAAACATTTATTTTACAGAAAGTGTGCAGTGATATCAACTATTTGTGCGCCACTGTGGGCTTCTACTGACTGCATTAAAGTTGTTTTTAGTTTGGACATTCACTGTTCTCTTTTACACGTTTTAAATGCATCAGTTCAGCAAACAGGGCAGCTTGGTGGCTCAGGGGTTAGCACTGTTTCTGTGGAGGCCGCATGCTCTGCCAATGTTTGTGTGTGTTTTCTAGTTTTCCCCCTAAATTTGTTTCCACATTTGGAGTGGTGTTCCTAACATTGCTGATGTCAGTTCGACAGCTTCAGACACAATATTTTTTTAAGCCCGACCCTCTTGGTATTAATTTGTATGAAGGAATGATGCGCAAAAATAATTCCCCATCCCCCTACTCAATATTTCATTTTAGTTAGAAGTACATCCACATTCTGAAATAAAAGCAACCTTTGGTTCAAGCAGACTTGAATAATTACTTTCATTTACATTCATATAACTAAATAAGTGCATTTAGCTATTTTGGAGCTGGTAATATACTAATCAGACTAAATATTTTCTGAGTAAATAAACAAAAAAAGAACCCTTGGTGTCCTCATGTAATAGTGGCTCCTGAATCATGTTTTCCTCATCTAATATCGGTTGCCTTTCTCTGTCTGTTAACTCTAAATTGAATATTTGTGGATCTCCTCTCATCTTGGTCTCCTCTCTGCTGTAGAGACTGACTTTTGCTCAGTCATCTATTGAGCTGCAGAAGCTGATGTCTTGTTCTCTCCTCTGAAACTTCACCTCAGCACAGCAGGGGATTATGGGATGGGTATGAGGGGGAGAAGTGATTATCAATAAAAGGCCAGACAAACAAGGGTGAGTCAATAGACTCCTAACTGGAAACATAGAGTCGCAAACACACAAACACAAATAAGATCTCACCTATGGTGTCTCCTTGTTCATGCACCATGCTGGCCAAGTCCTTCATAATCTGATTAACGTCCAGCATGTCTCTCTGCGAAAACAAAACAGAGGTTACAGCTCAGAGGTGAGGGGAATAAACACTATCGATATCAGATCTTCCATGCGGATTTGTCCTTCATGAGCTACTTTAAATGAATTAGACAACAACAAAAGCAACAGTGCATTAAAAAGGAAAGAGGTCTTAATTATTATTAATTGGACTTTATCACACAATAAACAGTAGCTGAAGCTTTGTAAGTGGATTTAATCAGCTCTAAAAAAAACACTTTTTTATGAATAAAAGACTGTCAATTACTTATAAAAGGGTCAGATTCACTTATAGGGGACATTCTACCAGAAATGTAGATGTTTACTTATAAAAAACGTGACAGGGCCTGACCTTTATGCTTGTCGTTCTCAAAAAAATTATGCAAAAACAAGCAATAAATCAGACAATTTGATCTTAGAACACATCCTTGATCACCGTCAGCTTCTCCATCAAATGATGTCACTTCTTTTGAGTCATAGCCTTAAAGGCATATTGCACATATTTTATATTAAATTGAATGCAAATGTGACAGGACTGACAGAAACATGGAGACAATTGTATTTGTATTATTTATTTGTCATATTTATTTGTAGAATGTATTCATAATTTAATGTTTTTGAATCTATTGATGTGAATGATAACAACTTAAACTTACTATTTCTGTTTTTTCCTTCTAAATAACAGTTTTTAACATAACGAAACTAATAAAGCTGTAGGTTCAAATGTGCTGAGGACAAGGACAATGGCAGAGTTTGTACATTAGTAAAGTGTTTTTAATAAAGAACAAAAATCTGAGAAAAAAATCAATGACATAGTCCTTTACAGAACAACTCACAGAAATCAACCTTCTGTCAATTCTAAACACTTTTGGGATGAAATACTTTTTATTCACTGTATTTATGTTTTTATTTCAGGGACAGATGATGAACATTTCTGGTAGAATTTGCCATAGGTGTATATAAACAGGGTTTGGGAAAATGTAATGATTAATTTAATATGAAAGTCATACATTCAACTGTTTTGTTGAGACTGCTGAATCATTTGAAAATGAAGTAATATCTTGTATTTATGAATGGGTCACTGAATCACAGACTCATTTGATACATAAAAAAATAAATTATTCAGTTAATAAACATTGCTGTGTTGCTTATGGCAACTATTACGCTGTGATCTTTCTTAGCAAGCGATTTTGATAATAAAGCGTAAAGCAGGTCGCACATACATGCCATACATTTTAGAATTCGAAATATATGTTTCTATCATGGTACACACACTGGCGCCGCAAGCCGTGCCACAGAGCCCCATCTGAATAGTTTAATTTTAAATATGCGAATGTGCGCATCTGATGTGCGACACTTCCAACTGTCATGTGTGCACTGTCTCGCAGCGCCTAGCGGCACATCTGGTGTGCGACCCGCTTAAGACTATATCTTGGTATTAATAGTATCTCCAGTTGAAATCAGATTTGCTTTTTTACAGTATGTCTGATAACATTTTTTCTTCTAAAGAAAGTCTTATTTATTTTATTTTGGCAAGAATTAAAGCAGTTTTAAATTTTTTTATAATTATTTTAAGGTCAAAATAATAGCCCCTTTAAGCATTTTTTTTTTTTGATAGTTTACAGAACAAACAATCGTTATACAATAACTTGCCTAATTACCCTAACCTATACCTAGTAAACCTTTTAACCTAGTTAAGCATTTAAATGTCACTTTAAGCTGTATAGAAGTGTCTTGAAAAATATCTAGTCAAAAAATATTTACTGTCATCATGGCAAAGATAAAACAAATCACATTTCTCAACATAAACTATTATGTTTAGAAATGTGTTAAAAAAAATGGGGAAAATTTGTGCTAAAAAAATGGGGAAAAAATAAAAAGGGGGCCTAATAATTAAGGAGGATTAAAAATACTGACTTCAACTGCAGGTATTAATTATGGACATTTTTGGTTGACAAATAGACCTTTCTATTAAAAGAAGACATCAAGTTGACATGCTTAAGTCGATGAACACATTAGATTTTTTTTTTTTCATGAAAATAGCAAAATATAAATAAGATTTGGTCATACACATAAGATTCAGACATTAAAAACTAAAACTAGTCAACTTTTAACATATTTTCGTCATCTTTTATACTAATTGGAAATACAGTCAAATAGTAATGTTGTCATCATTTATAATAATGTAAAATTGAGCTTTATGTTGCTATTCATTTTAAAGTGTAATTTAGGTCACACTTTATTTTGATGGTCCGTTTGTTGAATTGAAGTTACATTGCATCAACATGCCAACTAATTCTTGTTAGATTATAAGTAGACTTTTAGGTTAGGGTTAGGGTTGGGGTTGGGGTTAGGGTTAGTGTAATATACTTGCAAAGTTTCTTTTCATCAGTTAAATGTTTGTTGAAGGAGCAGTATAAACAGATATAAAGCAAACAGTCTACTAATACTTAAATGGACCATCAAAACAAAGTGTTACCTAAATTTACTAAATTAATTGATATCATATTAAATACAAAGCTGTATTTTCAGAATATTTTCTCCAGTCTTCAGTATACAGTAACACGACTCTACAGAAATCCTTCTAATATGCTCTTACAATATGAACGTTTTCACTAAGTTTTTTCTACCGTGATTCTTGAACAACGCTCAACTATTGGTACAGTAATTGATGACAGTTGTGGCAGCACAATCACAACATACTCATAACAAATCAAAACCAAATCTTTTTCTCCATTGCCTTTTCATGTCAAACTTTCCTCTACAGTGGCCCGAAGCAACATGGAGTCCTCTAAACCCCAAGTCTATCTCCTGCTCACAGACCTCTTTTCCTCCATACACAACCCGATGTGAGTGCAGCTGGGTCAGTGGAGCTGAAACCATTGAGCCATTCATCACAGGTGTCTGCAATTGTTTGGGAAACTGGCAGCCATTCCGGCTCTTGGCACAAACTGTTTGGTCGGAGCCAAAATGGCCCCTAGCAAATCAAACATTACTAAAGAGTTTCTGCATTTTTCCCTCTCAAGCCATCAACACTATCACAGAGTAACATATTTATTTTACCCACCATGGCGTTTGTAAAATTTTTCTTTAATGTGCCATAGCTCTTGATTAGAATAGAGAAACTTAAGGTAAAAGACACTACAGGCAAAATTACAGTTTCGGATGGAAGTTAATAACAAGTATTTATATTATTTATTAAATTACACATTAGTTGTATTTTATTACTGTCTACCCTTACCTAAACCCTAAACCCAACCGTCACAGTAATGTAAAAATATTATTTGTTTTACAGGTTCACAAAAATTATGCTATAATGACATGAGTATCCTCACCTGTATCCCATCCAGACTTCACCCTCTCCTGCAGAGCATTGTCAATATAGCATAATTTTGTGAAACTGTACAACAATAAATAACAATATTACTGTGAGGGTTTGGTTTAGGGTTGAGGTATGTGGTAGGCGGTAATAAAATACAATATTTTAAATGTCTGGCTAAAAAACAAAAACTTTTTGTTTTCCCTTTTAAACACATAATATTTTATTTTAACAAAATATATATATATATATATTTTAGAACAGTGAACATGTCAGGCTAAATAATTTAAATGAATCATAGACTTCTGCTTTCTTCATTTGTTTTAAAAACTGATTTTTTTGTCACATTTTAAGACAACATCTTTGGGTATCTTTTCTGCTGGAAATACTGTTGTCCTAAAAAAAAAAAAAAAAAAAGTAAATAAAAATCTTACACATACCTTAGAAATGGTATTGAAAAAAAATGAAAATGGCTATCGTCCCATGCCTAATTGCCAGGTGTGTGCAAAGCACTTGATTTGCAGTTCAAATTCAATCCTGCCTCCAATCTTCAATGCTAATTTCCCCCTCATGCTCCATCATAACAACACAACTCACGAGACAAATTTTCACCTTGACGAGAAACATTTCTTTTTATTCTCAATACTGAAAACAAGTGTATAATTTTACTGACAGTCTTTTTTTTTTTGTCTTTTTTTCTTTCTCAATCTTTCTTGAGTCTTTTCTTTAGGATTCTTTGATGAACAAAACATTTTAACAACGTTTGCAATTCTTAATGTAATCAGACAAATGGAGAAGCATGATGATAAATGAAAGTTCATTTTTTACCATATTTACCTGCAGTGCCTTGCCTAAAAAGATCACAATACAGATCTAGTTAGAGCAATCATTGGTTCATTTACTGTAATGTTCAGAATGGCTTTTAGTAAACACCTCTCTGTGGAGCTGCGACTCCTTTGAGAACTGGGTTTATAGCTAACAGGCACTGAATTCAGAATAAATCAAAGTTCAGTCATACTGGCAAACACAATTCAACACGCTGAAGGAAGTCTGGGGAAAAGAGGTCTGATGAAATATGAGGAAATTACTTAAATGACCTAAACAAACTCTACAGTTAAGAAACTTGGGAGTCAAAATAATTCTGCTGTATTAATAATCAAACAGAAAGATAGCTGTTTGCTGAGAAGCAGACACAAGAATGGATTGATTTTGTTGCAATTGTTAAAATATAAATAAGCATAACAAAAACAAATCAAATAAAATAAAAATAAAATTATATGTTTTTTTAAGACAGCATACAGTATTGCATAAAGCAGTAGCAATGTTTAAAAATAAATCTTACAATAAAAAGTTTTCTAATTCAAAATATTATTATTATTATTATTATTATTATTATGTCAGCATATCTGCCTTCAGTCATTCAGAAATCATTGTAATATAAGGAGTTGGTGTTGAAAAACATTTCTTGCTAGTGTCAATAAGTTTTTTATGATTATTTCTGAATGTTGCTTTAAAAATAGCATTGTTTACAGTATATATTTAATGTCATGTAATAATGTAAAGGTATTTGCTGTTACTTTCAAGCATACTATATTAATTACTCCATAAACATTATGTGTGTAAATTAAAAATAAAATGAATCAAATAAAAGTAAGGCAAGGTAAGGTAAATAAAAGTAAATAAAA